ATGTGCATAATCTAAAAGCCTGAAGAAAACAAGTAAAAAACAGTTGTTGATGACAGTGATACTAAGGACACCAGAAAAGCCTGCATCAGCCCTTAATTGCTAACGCACTTGTACTAAGTAAGGCATGCTGTTTGTGTTTAGAGCCCTGTGGTCTTCATTATTGCTTTGATTTGTGTATATCTTACAAGAATTCCAGGAACATTAGGTACAGGTACATGGTACATAACTGAACCTTTCTTGATCATTTTATATGCTGTATTTTAAACTTGCATAGGGATAAGCATGAAGGAGTCATGCATATGTATAAATAATGTATTTGACCAGTGTAAAAATAGTTCTGTTGATGTATTTGAAATGTAAGTGCATTTTGTGCCACTAACACTGTGATGTATAAAGGAGCTGTTGAATGCCTTTTAATGTGGTGTTTTGTACTTTGAATCATATTGGAGAGTTTAATTTGTAATTTCAATAGATATTTTAAATGAATGTGTTTCCTGTGATTCTTAATAGTGACTTTTCCCTGTGCTTCTCTGCCTCTCAGACCTTTGGAGAAAGCATAGCCTGTGGCCTGGAGACCTCCTGCCACAATTCTGTACATAGTTGTGGTTTCTGACTCACCATCTCCCAGCTTAGCTAAAAGAGTGAATCTGGATATCTCTAGAACTAATTTGATGCACAGCTGGTTCCTCAATCCAGCTCCTGTTGTAGTCCATGGATGGATGCTCTCAGCAGGTGAACGTGCTGCCCCAAGGATCACTCTGAGGTGTGTGTATGTTCTTGCACTGTGGGTTTAGGTCTGGTGAAGGTGGCTGCAAGCAGCTTGTGCTCCTCTCAGGTTGGTGTGGAAATTTAAAAGTAAAGCCCAATCTCCTGAATAACCGAGCATATTTAACTCTCGGACAGTGGTAATGAGTTCTCATGTTCTTGACTTCATCAACAAGCACTTTGTATTTTGCCTAAACTGTAATTGAGAATGTAGATTTTCCTTTGATTCCCACAGTTTATTTATCACTTGTTAGAATACAATTTGTCTATACCAGTAAAAAAAGCGTAGGCACAATTTCTTCAAGAAAAAGGTGTGCATAAAGAATATGTGTATATGTGCTTTCTACCTGACAAATTTTAAAAAGGCCATGTAATAGTTGCTACTAACTCATTTCTTCTTTCATTTTCATGGAGCATAATGATTTTTCTCCACAAAGGCAAGAGCAAGTTAGATATTTTGTTCAATTAATTGGGCAGAAAATAGTGTCTAAAAGCCATAAGGGGTTTTGATCTCTTCTAGGGCAGGTATTGTTGATAATGATATTTCTGCTTGCTTCTGCTTCTCCAGTATTGTGTTGCTTCCAGTTAATGGATGTCTGGTGTTGCAGTTTTCTCTTGGAGAGTAGGATTATTTCTCGGTCTTGTGCAATAACTGTGTAGTTTAGTGACCTTTTGCTTCTGGGAAGTGCGTCTATTTCTCTACCAGGTTCATCTTCCCTTGCTATAGAAGAATTTTCTTACCTGTGCCTTTCAGCTGTGTTACTGGGTTTCTGCACAAGAAGTCTGTCATTAGAGAATTGATCACTGCAGAAATTAGGAGGAGTAACAGTCAGCTGTATAAAATTAGAAAATAGGAGTTGAATTCTCAAGTGGCAAACTTACAGCACATGTAGGTTCTAGTAAACAGTGTCCAGGATCATTCAGTTGCTGGAGCTGAACCACATCCATAGTAGTAAGTTCTGTTAGGAGGGATCACAGCCCCAGAATAACTCCTGAGGTATATCTGGGCAGTGGACAGAAGAGTTCTGCTCAGAATAATGTCATTAATTGTCCTGTAAGAACTGAAAGATTGAGACAACAAAATTGCACAGCACAAAGCCCTTGTGCTAGTTCTGGCATTCTGCTTGTTACAGTGATGCTAATGGAATTAGCACTGTGTACACATACATGCATGGGGGATTGTGCTAGATATTGTCACTACAAGCTTGTGAGCACAGTGCATCCACAGCATCTACAAAGCACCTTTCTACTTTTTTTTTTTTAATTGAAGATCAGCTAGGAAGTTCCTCATAAGAGATTTTGTGCCCAGGGTACTTGACCTGTCAACACTGAATCTATATCAAGAATTATTTTATGCAGGATATATTGAAACCAATGAAACTTTATTTGATTTGGGGAATGGCAGGTAAGGCTATTTTGTACCAGGAAGCCTTTGCTACCCAAGTTATGTGCTCTGGGAACCAGGATTCAGCCTAATAATATCTGACATCACTTAAGTATGAGGTGTCTTGACATATGTGTGTCTGGCCTCATCTGGTGGTAATTGAGGCAAAGACACATCTCCTGAGTTTTTCGGACATCTCCCTTCCCATCCTATGCTGCTTTTACTAAGGTTGTTGTCTAGACAAATTAGCTTTTTTAGCCTCTCAAGCTGCTTCTCAGGTGTGGGGTTTTTTTTGGTTTTTTTTTTTTTCTCACATGCTTTGATGACAGAAGTCTAAACTGTCCTTGTCCAGGCATATAACTTTTACATGGCTAAACCTGTCGACAGCAGTCATAGAATGCCCTATCACAAGGACTGCTTTCAGACACCAGGGCAGGACTTGGTGCTGCAAATCAGAACCAGGTTACTCTGTATTTCCAGATGTCTCTGTGTGCGATAACCATAACTTATCACGTGCCACATACAAAATATTTAGGTGCTGTAAATGGTACAAACCAAATTCACACATGCAAGCAATGGAAACACACTTAAAAGACTGGAGTCCTGTTCTTTTGTGGTATTTGACAGAGAGAACAATGTCAAGTTGTGTGTGCTATCTGTGAATTTATTCCTATATTCCTTGTTGGGGTTTTTTTGTTGTTGTTGTTTTTTGTTTGTTTGTTTTTTTGTTTTTTGGGGTTTTTTGGGTTTTAAAGCAAAAAATGCAATTAACACTGTAAGCCAAATAAAGAGAGCGCTTGGGAGTAAATTGTAGGTGTCCTAACTCAGTGCAGTGTTTTAGAATGTCAAATGAGTCTTCTTGTCTGTGTACTCATATATGACTACAGGAAGAAATTCTATTGCATAATTTTGTAGGAAATGCAATAATTTAGCAGGTTCTGTAGGCCTTGACCTCCTCGTACCAGTCTAAATTAAAGTTGTTGTCTCAGCCATTCTTGATATCTCACTGCTGTATGTTATTCTTGAGAACAATTACAAAAAAGCACACATTTTATTTTCCTCTTTGCTCCCTCAAAATGATGTTTTGGTGGGTGGCAGAAATACTTGGGCTGCTGCAGCACCCTGAGGTCTTACTGTATTTTGAGAACGCCACTGTCGCTTTAGGGGTTAGCCACAGGACAAATGCATGAGCTTGCGCACAACCGCAATTAAAATTGCCTCGGCAGATGAGCAGAGTTCAGGGTTTCTTTGTTTTCATGCCTTAGTGAATCCATTTTGTTGAAGTCCCATTTAACTTCTGTAAGGGGTACAGGTCTTGTGAGGGATTCCTGAGTTGGAATAGGGATAAACTCTTCCAGCTGCCTTAGCAGAGTTCCCGGGAAGGTGTTCGGGCAGTGAGCGGTGCTGCCAGCAGGGAGCAGCCGCCGACCAGCGCAGCTCAGCCTGGGCTGCCTGGCAGGAGAAATCCCTGGGAGCCGGATTTCTACCTTGAGCTCGTAAAGTCTGTGCTTCAGAGCCTCCGCAGAGCTAATTGTAAAGATAGGGCTAAAAATAACGATGTTATGATGGGCCTGCTCACGCTGCTGGGGCTGTTCTAGTCTCTGATATTAACATACATTATTGCTCCTTTTCTCTGAGGGTGTGTAAACCTTTTCTGATGGAAAAAGACCAAGTGTTAAACTTTCAAAAGAAGATATAGAGATGTTCCAGTATACAGATGTAAAACGAAGGGTGCAAACCTGGGGTCTCTTTCAAAATGCTGACTTAAAAAAGCACTGATTTTACTGGGAGAAGAAGGGGGAGCACTAAAATCAGTTGGTTACTAACAGAGTAAGATTTGGCTAATAACACTGCATCTTCTCTATATTTTATACTGGACAAATATTGTAGCTCAGCCAAATTATTTTTTTTCTGTCTTCCTACCCACGCCTGCTGTTGTGTCTGTGTTCTCTAATACAGATGTTCAGCAGAAACAATGCAACTGTCCAGACAATAACTCTAGCCATCTATTCAGCAGTCAACATGTTTGGCAGGGGAGGCAAGATGCAACAGGGAAGTTGTGAGTACTTCTGTCTTTACCTCTCTATTTATATACATTCCAAAGTTTGTGTGTCTTCCTACCCCTGCCCAGCCACCAAGTACATCTGAATAGAGCAAAGTGAAAAGTTGGTTTCTCATTTTTTGTGGACTAGAGGTTTGTTTTAGGATCCTGCTAATACTAACACAAGCATTAACCTTTTTAAAAAAAAGATACAATGTGCAGTCCTGGCTGCCACCATCTCTCTGACAAAATTCCAGGGACTCCTGGAATTCATGCCAATTACAGCCTGTTAGGAATATGTTTGGAGTATGTTTTTGAGCTCAATCTGTTTTTCCTTTTCAGAACCTTGACATTTTCTCAGGTGAAGCAGAGCAATTAGAGGATTGGGGTAACACAGTGTCTCCTACCAGACCACTTACACTTTCCCCCCACCATATCCATGCATTTTGTTCAGGAAGTTTTCCCAGCCTTCAACATCAATCAGGGAGCTACAGACTGAGAATCTTCAGAGTGCAGGATGCCTCCAGCCTTTCAGTGTTCCTTGCAGCTTTTCCTGGCTTCCCAGGAGCAGGGTAGTGTTTCTAGGTGCAGAGTATTGAAGAATAGCCCTTGAAAGATGCAAATTGAAGGGGAGAGGTTGTGTGCTATCTTGCTTTTTCCCACAGCTGGAATCAGAAAACAGAGACATCCAGAGCAGCAAAAGGCAGAGGCAATGAGAAATTTCACCTTTATCTCTGTTGCCTTTACTTGTGCTGTGACTAAAATTTACATTGGTGCTCCGTGCAATCACCCTTACCAGCAATTTTTATCCTTTCACTTGTGATCTGAGGATGTGCAGGTTCTGCAGGTTCTGCAGTCAAGTACTAGCATTTCCTTACAAGTAATACTTGGTAAGAGAGTCAGAGGAGGGTTGTGACTGGGTTAAAATACAAGTGCCTTATGTGAGAGCTGACCCTCTGACTCAGCTTCTCCTGTGCCCTAGGACTGAGAGAATTAACCCAGATATTTTCTCTGCTATTGTGCTGTGGAAATAAACTGAATGTGAAAAGCTACAACACCTGCAAGCAACATCATTTGTCCTTACAGAGGGATCCCAGGGCTCCTTAAACCTAAAGAGTTCTGTTGGGTGCAGCCATCTCTTTTTCATAGCTTTTAACATTAAGGCTGAGAAAATGCCTTCTGTGTCACAGCATCTGGCCAGAAGCTACAGGGAAAAGCTGTGGCTGTGAGGGAAAGGAAGCTGAGAAATGCCTGAGGTTGCAGCAACGTTTGTCTTGAATCACAAGATACCTTAATGACCCTTCAGGACACTCAGTACGTAAAGGCTTTAATGGCAGCCTCAGATGTGGAGCCTATCAGCAAAGCTCAGTAAGGTTATAATACTGCTCTCAGCTGGATAGGCTATGACTTTGCTTACTCCAACTCAAATATGAAGCTTGCAGTGGAGCTCCAGCTGCTATGCAGTGCCAGCAAAGCAGCTGAGGGGCTGCCTGCCCTTTTCATGCAGTTCACAGCACCATGGAGCACTCCCTAGCAATGGTCATGATTGTCTCTGCTCAGAGATGGCCATCTCCAAATAATGATGGGCAGCAGCCCCACAGAAATTATTAAGGTGTTTCTTGGAGCAACAGTTACTGGACTTGCTCAGGAGGCTGTGTCAGGTGGGGTTTGCCAATAAAACAACTAACCGCTCCAATGGAAGGGTTTTGTAGAGCTTTATGTATCTGAGTGTTCAACAACCACATGTGAAGCACTACAAACAAAGCTCCTGGATACAAGAAGTGCTCGACATGTTGGTAGGGAAAGAAAACCTTTTTCAATACTTAACAGGAAAATATCATAATCTTTTTGAAAGCCACAAAAGCAGTGACAAGATGAGGTTCTGAAAAAAATTCATTCCTCTCTATAGTATCTGGTATGTCCTTTGTATACAAAGAGGTTTTTCCACCTGAAGAACTCCTTCTCTCCAGGCTTCTCTGAAGAACTACTGAAGGCTCAACATAAGGTTTGTGTGAAGAGTGTGTGGGTTGTGTGCAGTGCTTAGGCTAATTGCTGCCCCTGAAGCAGCTGGGAGGGGGTGGTCACAGAGGAATATTAAATTAAGGTAGTCCACAAAGATTAGAAAGTGTGATAATCACTTGATTTGTCAGGAGTAGAATCAGGAATTTTAAACAAATATCTCCAATTTATTATTATTTCCTTCAACAAGCAAAATTTAAAAAGATACCTGGCATGTACCCTTCTCCCACCTCAAAGAGAGGAAAATATATTGTGTTACTGCTGGCTTTATTTCACTATTTTCTTCCTATTTTAAACAAAAGAAGCAAACCCCAAAATTTCAACAAGCTCTTGAGTACTGCACAATGCCTGGCTTATTTCTTTTCATGCATGGTGTCATGGCAACAGGAGGAATTCAAAATTAATTATAATCCAGGCAAGATGGGCTCTACTTATATTGTGTTTGATTTAGCCTGGCCTCCTGATTTATTTTTGACAAAGCAATATCAGAGGCGCTCTTTGCTACTACGGCTTTTTCTTAGTCTGAAAGATCTTGTGGTCAATAATTTGAATATGTAACAAGCTGCCAATGAAAATTGAATTATTACAGAGATATGAGACAAAAGAATATTCAAAAGAAAAAGCAGGAAGAGGTAGTAAGTGATTAAGTGAAACAGATATTGTTAAACTTTAGTAAATTCTAAGAGTAAAATAAAGCATACTCTCTTTAACAGGAACAGCTCTCCAACTATTACTGTTAACAATTTCCCTCAAAAGATTTGATTTATGACTTATTAATCAGATATGAGAACGTGTTTCATTTGAGAAATGCTCAGTGCCTGCTTCAATATGGTGGTGCCTTAACCTGAAAGATACCTTGATGGTACACAAAGGGAACAAAATAAAAATTCAATTAGACTTTCCAGCCTACAGTTTACTTCCTCATTCAAAGCCAAAGTACTAAATTCATTTTTCTCTTCTGCTCTGCATTGTTAAAGAGTCGTGTATTGTATAGGTTTTTACATAGAGAGGACCAAATTAAATTTTTAACCATTAGATAGAATTCTTACACCTGGAATGCCGTCTCTGGTTTGCCAGCTCTGGCAAACCTGCAAATCTGTACCAGCAAGTCTGTTTTGTGCCTCCACCTGCAGCCATACTGTGCATCCTGTGAAGGACGAAATGCAGACTGAGAGACCCTGCAGCAGATTCCTTCAGCCTCAGTTCTGCATAATGCAGAAATATTTCCCATGTGATGTGTGAGTGACCCATTTATGAGGCAGCTTCTGGAAAATCATGGGAGGTGTAAAGACATTAATCATAAAGAAAAAGGAAGTTTTGAATTATCTATTTCTATCTTTTTTGGCTTTTTAATGACAAACATCAATGTCTGCAAGTTATCATTCATAATGATCACCAGAACCAATATGTTTTAAAAAAATCCCCAAACAAATCAAATCTGAGATACAGCACAATCTCCAAAAGCAGGATTTTGGAATAAACAATAGAGACAACAAGGTGTTGAATTTTATTCTTTGTTTGTACAAAATATTTTGCTTGCAGCTTAGTTCCTTTATGCCAAATCAGTCCGACTTACATGTTCAAGGTAACCACAAACAACCTACCATTGACTAAACAGAATATTCTCTTTTTTTATATAAAGAGAAAGAGAAAAGCTTTTTTATTGGCATGAAGAACTATATCTATCTAGGGGGGCAAAACCTATATTTAGATGTCACAGTGTATTTATTTCTTGACTTAGTGAAGGGTTAAGGAGATCTTTAACTGAGCTGATAGCCCACAGAAGTTAGGCACTAGCAGTCCTGCAGCTTGTGAACATCACTGTTGTTCAAGCCTTTGCACAAAGTGAGAGCTACTTGGAGGGCACTTTGATCCTAAGTTTCTCCACACTTATTTACCTTTGGGGTCTCAACACAATTTCTAGAGCTATTGCACAATATGTGCTGATGACTGGAAATTCCAGAAGCTAATGCCCTCCCAGACTGGCATCAGGGATCAGTGGTATTGCATAAATAACCTCTGAATATTGTGACTAATTTCTGTCAGAACAATGAACTCATTGCAACAAGTGAGAAAGAACATGTAGGAAAAGTAGCAACAAGCACTGAACAACATCTTGACATGTCCTCCATGCAGTGTTGAGGAATTGATCCACTTACCAGATGGGAGAGACAAGTCAGGCAAGTTTCCTGATTCTTTGGCTCCACATATGGAGCATCAAAGAGGTGAACTCATATTTTTTGAAAACAGAAAATTACTCAGTTCAACAGAAATATTTGGGGGTGTAGACACTTCCCCAAGATGCAGGATGAAAATATTCTGGTATGTGATACCACTTTAGTATCAGCTTTCTGAAGAAATTTGTGAGACTAAAGGAGAGTGTGTAAGAGACAAGGAAATAACCAGATGTACTAGTCCACAGGTAATCTAAGGAGTAGTGCTTTCCTTGTGACTCTCTTACTATGGCTCTCTTTCAGTGTTTTGCATCTGTACTGCCTGCAGCTAGCACTGGTTATAGATTATACTGGAGGATTTCTAGCATCTGAATTGCTCTAGCATATTTTCAGATAGTTCCACAAATTACTATTGCCATTTATTTTGGATATTGTTTTAAATTACTCTGTTTTCTTTTATTCATGGCAATAATGAGACACAGGTTTTGTTCCATATAGACTGGCACGCAGGCAGCAGTCAAGAGTCCTGATGTATACCAGAAAACCCTTTCTCCCAAAATGCTCCCAAAACTGTCACTTCTGAAAAATGTGGTCCCAGCTAGCAAAACAGTGAGACCTTGCAGGCAGCTGAAGAGAGGCTGTCTGTTTAATCCATAGTTAAACAGAAGTGGGAAAGCAGTAGGAGCTCAGTAACTTCCTGGATATGAACAATGTTATGTCAGCTGAAAACTTGGCAAAGCAGATTCATGTGGGGGCAAGGACAAAAGCGTAAAGTATAAGGAGAGAATTGTCCAGCAGAGTACAAGAGGATGCTGTACTTAATGAAAAAAAGGAAACACACAGCAGTGTAATTAAAAACAAAACAAAACCACTGTACAAGCCCATCATGCAAATAGAAGTGAAAGAAGAAAAAAACACCAACAAATCAAGTGTGAAACATTAACTTGAAAAGACATGCATACTTTATTTCATAGAGTATATTTCATAGAGTACCTGTGTAAAAAACTATTTCTACTGTGTTTAATAAAATGTCTGTAGAAAAGTGCATATTAGGGTTAGTTTACTTCTGCTATGCAAATCTGTTCAAGGCAGGACTGCTGGCAGGACACTTCCCTTGAGGCAGCAGCATTCCCACCTGGCTGAGCACAGACTGACTTGCCTTCATCCAGCATTCCAACCAGGGTCACTGAAGAGAGGCACTTTTCATCATAGTACCGGGCAAATTCAAGGGCCAAATATTGTAATACTGTAATTTTAGCTTCTTATAGCTTTACATTTAATGAGAGTTAGGTTAGTATAAAGAATTATGAAACAGTTCCAATGGTGTCCATGGGAAATTCTTCTCAACCACAGGGAATAATACTAAATGAAAAAAGTTTAGAAATGGAGGGGAATTTGACCTTGGCAGAAAGTGGACTGAAATCAGAGACTGGCACCCTTTCAAGGGTATTTTTCCAGTCAGTATTTTTCCTGCCCAAGTTAGAGACTAAGCAATCCTAGTAGGAAGTTGATGGGAGCCAGAGACACCATTCTCAACCAAACAATGTGCTACTGATGAAAGGGTCAAACCCCTCAGGGGACAGGGCTGGAAACTGCTGCCTTTTGTGGACTAGATGTTTAGGTGTCAGTCTTTGCTGGCCTTGCTGATAGAACCTGACATCTTTCCAAAGAAATACACTTGTATTCCACATTTGCAAAGTCTCTGACCCTGATTTTCCAATCCTTTCTTTCTAAGAACATTTTGTTGTATTCAGCGTTGCAAGCAAATACCGCAACCAGTTGAGAAATCGACCCAAAACGTAAACACAGAAGTAATTTATTTTATATTATTCAGCATCTTCTCTTCCTTTTACTTTTTTTCTATGAAACAACCAAATCATTAAGTATCTTGGAGAAACTTCTGATTTTTAAGAACAGTAAAGGAATCTACATCAAACAGCAGTAATGGTTCTAGGAGCGGTAGCAAAACATACACCAAAACCTTGCAGTAACACAGCAGCTTTCCATCCCACTTTAGTCTGGGGACCAGGATATAAATAGCAACAGCGAAAATGTGTCCAAAATAAACAGCGATTTACAGGACAGCCTTATTTCTTCAAATTCTTTTACTCTCTTCCTTTTACATGCAGACATGCAAATTTCTATCATTTGCATTTGGTGGGCTTAATTACTAAATTCTGAAAAATTATTCATTCATTCCTTTCACAGAGGTGTAATGAGGTGCCCAAAACTGCGTTTCTCACACTGATTCTCATGTTTTTTATCTCACCCAAACTGGATGTCTATGAATTAGAGCTATACATTAAAGCCTCCCATTACATCCAACAGAAAGAAACAGTTCTCTCCAGAGGAGGCTTATCTGATAAGTTATGTTTAGGTTGTTATCTAAGAAAACTGAGATGAGTTTAAATGCTCCCTCTCTCAGTCCACTGATGTTGAAGAACCATAGTGTTGGTTTCCCACAGCCCAGGTAAGCCTGACAGAAGGTTTTTCTCTTCCCAAGAGCCAACACTAGAACTTGTGGGATACTTTTCCACATGTACATTAGGCAGCCCCTTGGAAGTATCACTGTAGTCACTTTAAAATTGCAGTCTGAGATGAATAAGTTTTACCTGCTTAAACTTCCTGAGATAAATTTGTTTCTGAGAAGTTCTGTGTGTTTGTTTTCGTGGAACTGGTTAGAGCGTTGTGTTCCCGAATGCCTGCCTCTCATTTTAGTTTCTGAGCTGGCAGGATAGATATGCTGTTTTCAAGTGTTATTTCTGTGGGGAAAAAAAAGTCTAGAAATCTCTTGGGGAAATGCAAACAGCGCATGCTCCATATTTCAGCAATTGAATTCCTGAGGGAAGTACCTGATAGTAAAGAAATTCAAACAGTGAACTTGATACAGACATACATAGGAAACTCAAAGTGAATTTGATTAAGAGTAACCATGCAAATAGTTAAGCTTTTGTGCCTGTTCTGAACTCTGATTAGTAACAATCAGCCGAGTTATTTGTGGGGGACACTTGCCTAAACTCAACTAAAACATATGGGGCCATCTTGGTGACTCTTTTGTTTATAGTTGTTCATATCCACCAGGTTTGCAGTTGTACCCTTTCCTCCTAGCAGTTCACTACTTCATAAATCCAGGTGTAGCCCCCATATTAGAAGATCCATATCAAGACATTCACATTTTAAATCAATACCATTTTGGGTAATACTCCTTCTTTCCATTCTCTTCTCTCTTCCAGCACAACTGCAGAACACTGGTGCCAGAAGCCATATGTCGTCACTTTGAATTCTTCTATGTAGTCTACAGTCTCCTCTGGTTTATTTTTTCTAACCGATCTTTGTTTTTAGAGCAATTCATCAGTTTATAAATAGATGGGTGTGATACTTTCAAAAATCCCAATGAAGAATGAATGCTTTGATGCTTTCTTACTGAAAAATGCTAAAAAATAATTCTTTGTATGGTGTGACTCTATAAGACTTGCTTAACACAAGTTAAACAGTTTGGGCAATTTGATATTCCAAAATAATATTTTATAATGAAAAAGATGTTCAAAAAATGCAGGTCAAACTAAATTCCCTTACTGTTGCCATTATTGTATTTTTGACAAGTCTTACCTCTTAATGTGTTTTGGCTGAAATCGAGTCTTGCTTGTGTCTTATATTCACTTTTGTTTGAAAGCATAATTTCCTAAATCTGAAGGCCATGACCAATGATATTATTTCTGTAGTAGTAAGATTTAGGATGAAGCATCTATTTTTTTTTTAATCTTATATTTTGTGCTCTAAATCCCTTCCTAACTCAAAGTGACAATGTTATGGGGATCAGAATGAAAAAGAAAATAGTTTCTATTTTAGTCACTTGGTCTGGGGATTCTACAATTAGTGGCCTACAAGGCTACTGAAGTACATGTGGCATTTGAGAAAGGTTCTGCTACGTTCCCTACCAGAATCTGACTTGAGTAAATGAGATGTCCGGAGAATTCACTCCAGCTCCTGGCTGCACAGAGAAGATATATGCCTGTATGAAAAGTGGAAGGGATTTCATCAGACCTCTTTTGTTTGGGCATTTCATTTAAAATTTAGATAGATATTGAGTTTCCACCTGAAGGCTGGTCACACCTCAGCCAATTATTTTGATCTGCAGCTATGCAGCCAGCCCCTGAAAATCCAAACAGTAATCTTACAGAATCACAGAGTCATAGAGTGGTTTGGATTGGAAAAGATGTTAAAGTTCATCCAGTTCTAACCCCCCTGCCTTCGGCAGACACATAGTCCGCTAGACCAAGTTGCTCAGAACCCCATCCACACTGGCCTGGAGCATTCTCAGGGATGAGAGAGACATCCACAGCTTCTCTGGTCAACCTGTTCCAGTGGCTCACCCTTCTTACAGTAAAGAATTTCCTTCTACCACCTAATCTAAACCTGCTCTAGGTTTGAAGCCACTAGCCCATGTCCTGGCACTACATGCCCTTGTAAAAAGTGCCTCTCCAGCTCTCTCGTAGGCTCTCTTCATGTACAGGAAGTCAACTATAACTTTTCCAAATTATGAACCAATAGTTATGGAGTAATTTTAAAATATATACTTTTCATGGCTAAATCAAAGATTACATCAAAATTCTTCTGGCAGGGGTTTGTTATAATTTCCTATCACCTTTTCCCACTGTGCCAGGCTATCCTGCAATAACTGAGCTGCTTTGCTTTTCTCAGAGCAAGATGTTGAATGGTTGAGGCATGTTCTGCCTGTAGTGGATGGGTAAACAGTGGCTTTAGCCTGAAAAAAAGGACAATGAAGTGAAACAAAAGTTTATCAATTGCAGAGCCAGTGAAGCCCAAGAATAGGTGAAGGATTTTCAGGCTTCTCTGTGATAAAAGTTTTAATAGGAGACTGGACAAATATTTCATGGGAAGAAGATGTTCTGGTGATGGATTTGGACCTCACAAAACACCTGAACTTTCCTGTTCAACAATTTTAAATCCACCATGGGACCTTGTGTTATCTGTAACGATTCAGGGAGTACCTATTCCAAATTTTCAGGAAAATTCAGACCTATGGTCAGACACTTGGGGAAGTCACTGTGGTCACTCAAGTATTTTATAACAGAGGAATGCTACTAAAATCTCACTCCCTGGAGGCAAATACTCAAGATAGCACATGGAGAAGGCAGCTTTAGTTTATCCTAGCTGCTGCTTCACATGATTACTTCCAGAATGTGAGTATCCATGTCACCATTTAGTGGCTGTTTGTCAACGAAGGAGAAGTTTTGCTAACATACACAAGAGGCTTTTACTTGCCCTTCCAACAGCCTAAAATGAAAGGACAGACCACCCTGCACAATGAGGTCAGTTTTATAGAGGCTTTGAGAAAAGAGTGAGACAGAAAAATATCTGACTTTGAAATAGTTTCAACATAAATTTGGGACTAGAGAGAGCTCAAGAAATAAAAGACACAGAAAAGGGCATTTAGGAAAGGAAAGCCTTGTTTCAAGGGTCTATGTCAAACCAAGTTTGCTTGTTCAGAAGGTAAGATGTGATGCAGACACGTTCAGTAACCTTATTTTCTTTTTGATAACCACATAATGGGAGAGTTTGGTACACCAGCCCTGCCAGATTGACTAGATTTCAGATAGAATGAAATATTACTTTGGTTGGAGACAAGACTTGATGGTTTTGAAGGTATTAGGTGTGGTGCTTAAAAAAAGTTTTTTATGAGGGGAAAGAAATAGCAGGCAGTGATGTTCACTGTGTCAGACTTATTTGGGAAGTCAATAGTCTCTCTTTGCTTTCTTATTGTTTTACTAAAGTGGAATAATCTTTAAAAGCCTGCCATATCACAGTGTTTCTGGAATCTAGAGACCCTTTCTAGACCTACACATCCTCAATGCACAAATCCAAGTTGCTCCTGCTCCCAGTTTGTGTAGATCAAAGTGAAGGTATCACCCCCACATATTGACAATGTACTGTTTTCTAGGTGTGTATTGTGTACTTCCTTAGTCCCTTTGGGCCAGCTATGAGCTGGACAATTGTGTTGCAGGACAATGCATGCACTGAGGAGCAGTAGTCCAGCTCAGTAACACTCATGCAAGGCTTACATAAGTTGAACTCATATAACTTTGCACATGTTTAGGAGACCTAAATTGGACCTAAACTCTCCCGCAGTTTCAAAGTGATGGAACAAAATCATATAAATGTGTTTTCCTATGAAATGGAAAGCAAGGAAATGACTACACTTTCATTTTTCCTGCATATTTCTAATGTAAGAAGACATCAGAACTTACACATGGAGAAGTGGCATGAAAACATGTTGTAATTTCATCTCACATGGGAAAGGACTGATGGTGTTATTCCTCAGGTAGTCTCAAATACTGTACTTCATTTCCACCCTTACCTGTGGAAAGCAGAAAATAAATACTATAGAGTAAACCAGAAAGTATGACTTGTCATTTTCCAGAATGATGTTTTATATCTGATTGTATAAGTTATTACTTTACCTTGTGAAAGGAGAAAAAAAGGGGGGGATTAAATCGAAGTAGGAAACAGAAAAGAGTCGTGGGAAACAGATGAATGATGACATCCAAAGAATGGCATGAAAAACTGAAGAAATGCTACACAAAGCCAGGAAATTGTCATTTTGCAGCAATGGCATCTCTCTGTGATTGTCTTCAGCACTGTTTCACCACATCCATCACTGAAGGACGCACAGATGTCACCATGAGAAATTCACAACTTGAATAAAGTTCCACAGCAAGCAATGGAAAGACTTTGATTAATTCCAGAGGGCTTTGGATGTGGCTCTTTCCATATCCTGGCTCGTTTTGGCTCAGGACCTGAAATCACTGTTTTTCTTTTTAATAACAATACTTTCCATTTCTATGGTGACTTACATTCACAAAGCTCAGTGAAAGCTTGTAATATTTCCTTTTATGAGTTCTATTAATATCAAGGAAAATAAAAACTTTTTTTTTTTTTTTTGTCATGAAACGCAGGTCTTCTGACCTCCTCACAGTTCAGAGGTAGCTCAAAATTGTAATTAATTTTCATAAGAAACTGTAACATGTTGAAAATTGTTCTCATTCTGAATTAGGGAAATACAATGTTGTGAAGCTCCATGAAGGGGAGGTTTAGGTGGCATATCAGGGAAAAGCTTTTTCCCAAGAGAGTGCTTGGGCACTGGAACAGGATTCCCAGGGAAGGAGTCACAGCACCACCTGACAGACCTCAAGAAGCATTTGGTCAGTGCTCTCAGGCACATGATGTGACTCTTGGGGATGGTGCTATGCAGGCCAGGAGTTGGACTTGATGATCCTTGTGGGTGCCTTCCAACTCAGCTTATTATATCAATCTTTGATTTCTTATGACATGAATATTATAAATTATGATAACCTAAGAAATTATTCACATTTTGAAATATCAAGTCAGAAATAATTTTTCAATTTTATGTTTTACTTATGAAATTAGATTTTCTTCTTTTATACATATGACAGTCAACATCTATCATTAATCACAGTCTGAAAAACTGTACAAATTACACTGTCTGTAACATATCATAACATGATAGAAATATAGCTGAAAAACAGTTTGATTTTATTTTCTTTTTTAGATTGTGGAGGAGTCTGCTCTCTAGTAGCATAGCAAAAAATGAAATCTCTCAATTTTTCCCTCTTTTTCCCTTATTTTTAATCAATATCTCCTGTTTATGTTACTAGATAATTGTTTGATTATTTTAGGGAGGACAACACACTATGAAAACGAATGGAAATAAAGTAAAAAACAATTCCCTTGAGCACAAAAAATTGTATGTAGTTGTTTTGCCATACGTTTAAGAAATGGAAAAAGTGCTTGTGTATAGCATTATGATAGCAGATTCTTGTGGGAAATCTGTCCTGGATTACACATAAGCAACAATGATTATTTTGAATAGATAACCCCTGAATTGTAGACAATTAAGGTAAAATAGCTTTGCAGAAATATAAGCAGCAATGAGCATGCATGGCTGGTGTGTGCCTGTGTGGACAGGGGGGTCTGAGGGCATCCGTGTGTGTGTGTGTGTGTGCAGGTTGCCTGCCCTAGAAGGGACTTCCAAATCCCCAAAGATGAGACCAATAGAGAAAACAATAACACTTTTATTTTAGCAACAAGAAACAAGAAAAGAGCAGCTCCAGGAGGAGCAGCTTGATGCAAAAAAGGGCTTTTATCTCTGCTTCCATCCTGATATCACAGCCAAGCATCATGACGAGACCTTCAGTTCCAGGGCAACAGTACACTCCATTTTTAAAGGCCAAAATGGATTCCAATGAGGCTCTCTTGATTAATTTAAAATAGCCTTGTGCTGAAGTGGAAAAGGGCTTGTTCCAAAGCCCACTGAAGTCAATAGGAGTTGACTTCAATTGCCTTTGGATCTAGGCCAAGATAGAGGCACCATGAGGTCATAGTTTAACAACTTTTTTCTAAAGGACAAAGCCTAAAATGTTCCAACACTTGTGAGTTCCTTACTTAACTCCAGGAGGCTTCAGCAGACAGTTAGCATTATGAATTGAATAAACTTTCCTTTTAGATGAGAGGATGCTACTGAGTGCTCAAGTCAGAAAAGCTTGTGATTGCAGTGGTTGGGGTTGCCACTAGAACAGAGAGGGTCTCAGGGAGCTCTGAAGGTTTCTCCATAAATTACAGTTGTGCATCCCAACTCCCTGCTTCAGCTGCCACCACAGATGGCCTGGACCAGCTCAGCAAGTGTGTGTCACCATAGCTGATTGCAGGGATTGTCCTGAGGGCTTACGTCAGTAGCTCAGCATCCAGCCCTCTGCAGCGACTTGTTCACAGAGGAATTTTTCTTTTTTTGATTTCCAATAAATTAGTAAAAAGACCCATAAATCAATTGAACACTATTTCCTGCACTCTTTCGCGTTTGTGGAAGCTTTTATCCCTCCTGGCTGACAGTGCCATTCCTTCGCTCCAGCAGACAGGTCTAGCAGAGCACAGCCTTGTGTCCTTTGCACGTCTCCTTTGGCCACGTGAGGGAAGCTCATACTGGTTTGCTGGGTAATCCTGAGCCCAGAAAATGCTGCCTTTGCATTTGTCCCCCAGCCAGGGGATGGGATGGGATGGGATGGGATGGGATGGGATGGGATGGGATGGGATGGGATGGGATGGGATGGGATGGGATGGGATGGGATGGGATGGGATGGGATGGGATGGGATGGGATGGGATGGGATGGGATGGGATGGGATGGGATGGGATGGGATAGGATGGGATGGGATGGGATGGGATGGGATGGGATGGGATGGGATGGGATGGGCTGTGTGTGCCCCAGGACTGCCCTCACAGGAGCTCTTTCCCAGCCCAGGCTGGGCCTGCCACTGCAGGAGCGCTGCTGAGCTGCCCTGGGGCACCGAGCAGGTACGGGGTTCTCTGGGGAACATCCCAGAGAGGAAAATGTGTGCGGAGGTGGAGACAGCTTCAGGATGAAGCAGGCAAAGCATATGAAAGGGGTCTTGTTGAAATTAAGTCTGATTTTGATCCAGTCTAGACCAACACACAGTCTTGCATGCAAAACACAAAACACTTGCATTTTGAACTTATTTGTGAATCTTTGCTTAAATCAACAGGCCCAAAACATAAGCTCTAACATAAGAAACATTTGAAAAATCTATTACAAATGAAAGTGACAAGATAATTGGCCCCACTTATCTCTAAAGGAAATATTATGACAGACTGGTCTTTTTCTTTTTCTTTTTCTTTTTCTTTTTCTTTTTCTTTTTCTTTTTCTTTTTCTTTTTCTTTTTCTTTTTCTTTTTCTTTTCCTTTTTTATTTTTTCTTTTTCTTTTTTCTTTTCCTTTTTTATTTTTTCTTTTTCTTTTTCTTTTTCTTTTTCCTTTTTCTTTTTCTTTTTCTTTTTTTTTTTTTTTTTTGTTTTTTTTTTTTTTTTTTTTTTCTTTTTTTTTTTTCTTTTTTTCCTTTTTTCTTTTTTCTTCCTTTTTTCCTGCAACAGTTGCAAAATCGAAAGAAACAAAATAAGACAGAAGAAAATGCTATGACTTTGGGCTAGATTTGCCTGTGTAAAAGAATCTCATATAATTGACAGCCTGGTCCTCTGTAACTGTCTCAGGTGATTTGGCTGACATACCATGTTCATCAGAAGTATCTTAAATAAATATTTCTGAAAGCATCAGGTTTTGAGACATATTTAGCATCCTATAAAAAGAGTTGTAAAATCAAGATAGGCTTGTTTGCAGGAAAGGGTAACATGAGTCTGTGTTATGACCAGAAATTTATAAATTCAATATCCTAAAAAAAAAAAACAACACAGCACCCACCCCACTCCCCACCCCTTATCTATCTTAGCTTTATTGTATTTGCCAGCATAATTATTTGCTGTTGCATGTGGTAGATGGAGTCCCCTGTCTGGTTCCAGTCTGAGTTCTAGTCTGATGAGTTCTGCCACTAAGAATGTTTGCTGGTTCTTATCCTTGATCAAAGCTTATGTCAGGAAGTATTTTGCACCAGTACTGTTAAAAAGGTAGCTTAAATAAATAATACCATTTTTATTTTCTGTACATGAAGTGATTCTTTCATGGACAGTAAAGTTTTTGTCCATTCTTACTGAATAAACAGTATTTTTAGTCTATTATCTCCCATCGTTATTGTAATGTTACTCAATAAACTAAATGCTTTATTTGTTCAGCAGGGTGACAGTGTATTTCCTTAACAACACAACATCATTGTGTGCTTTAGGAAACAGCTGCACAAACCAGTAAAGTGATGACACATACTTGGAATTTTCTCCATCTCTCAACCACATTTTGATGAATATCCCATGAAATGAATAAAAGCTATCTGCTGTAAATGTCAGGCAGGTGCTATGCAGCTGCACACCAAACACGGAAGGACTATTCCATGAGAATCTATCTGCTGTATCTATCTCTTCATCTCTCCATCTCTGCACTGTGTCTACCCATCTACATCTTTTTCTGTCCACTCTGCCTAAATCTCATATCTAAATCTATTTCAATCTAAACATCAGCTTGCTTCTCTCTAAATCCAGGTTTTACTTCCTGCTGTGGCTATGACATCCAAAGCCTTTTGTTAAAGACATTAAATACAGCTTATTTGCTAGATTTGGCATTGGTTGCAATATCCTATTAAAGGACATTCAAGAATGTCAGCTCTCCTTTAGGCACCATTTAATTAAGTTGTTTAAAATACTCAGCAAAATGCAACTAACTTCTGAATATTGAATATAACCATTAGCACAGTTCTTGCAGCATAGAAAATTTTTAAAAGGAGTTTTGCACTGGGTGGAGGCAAAGAGGCATTTTAATGACACCTTCTCTGTGATTTGCTGCCAAGGTAGGCATATTTTGTTCAGCAGGATAACATGTGGGTGTGTGCTTCACAGTATGTGTGGGCTTCAATGAACCCTGATATTACATAGGTACAACAATCTCCACCCTTCTGAAGAACTGAGAGATCCAGGAGAGTGTTGGTATGTGCCACCCCTGTGCTGTGCTTGGCACATTCTGGTGATCAGATTTGGGGTGGCTCACTGTCCACCATCATAATTCTCCATTGTCTGTGACTTATGAATGGGACTGACACATTCCAAAACCTGGTCTAAATGACAGTCATCTACCTGAAAGCTACTCATATGCCATGAATTTTCTAGTACACCACATGTATACCTATCAGTGTGTATATATATATATATATATACACACACACACACACACCCTTACATAGCACATTTATATACATAAAATGGAGTAATAGAATACTTCAGTTGTAAGAAGCTACTATGTTCATTCAGTCCAGTGCCTACACGCTTGTTTATATATCCCAGTGCATCATATGCACATTCGTGTGTATGTATGTCTGTGTAAAGAACCATCAGTGCTGTGCATAAACTCATGATGTCAACTTTTATCAGCGCCATTGCAAACTGTGAGGAGCAGGGTTAGGGTTAGGGTTAACACACTGACGCACCAGGTGCTTGCCCTGCAATGAGAGACCTCAGCTAGCTCAATAAATGGTCCAGCAAGAATCTTATAAAGCTCA